CGGCATGTCTGCTGGGGGGCTCGGCAAAGCAGAACCTCGGCTTTGCCCGTCCCCCTGGCCTTGCTGCACAGCTCCCCGCTCCGCTCCTTCCTCCACCTCTTGGTCGCAAGACCACAGAGTTCCCCTTCTGTCTTTCCGGATTCCCACCCGTGCCAGCTGTTACCACCCGCACGTGCAATTCTGTAGTGTGTAACCTCCTCTCCTCCGCCTTTCCTAGGCCCAACTGACAGTTGCCACATGGCGTTGGCTTTCCCAATTCTTGGGCCTCCTGGCAGGGGGTCCTGCCAGTTCCCTGGCTGCATACACACCATGCCTAGTTTGCAGCTCAGCATTTGTAGCTAGGGCCTGTCACTGAGGGCAGTCCAGAGGAGCCGCCCCACCCCTGCTCTGTTGTTCCTCTTTTCTCCAGCCCTCAAAGCTTTACATGCTGTCTCGAGAGCATGCTTCTCCTGCGACTCTGGCCACAACTGACCTGCTCAGCCACAGGGGGCCACTTTCCGCACTTTGGGCACCGAGGGATGCAGCTGGACATCCCTGTCCTACCTTTTCCCCCCAAATGGAGGCATGTTGCAATGCTTGGAATCTGCCCACAGCCCCAGTTGTATTATGGAGGGAAAGGAAGCCCTCCAGACAGCAGAGCCTTCCATAAGAAACAAGTGTTAATTGGGTAGAATGTGCCCTAAAGGCTCTCCTGCTCTCTACTGCCTATTTGTTTATATGCAGGTAGTCCTTGACTTACAACCACAACTGGGATCAGAACTTCTGCCACTAAGTGATGTGGTTGTTCAGTGACTCGTGCCTGATTTTATGACCTTTTTTGCCATGGTCATTAAGCAAATCTGGCTTCCCCCATTGCTTTTGCTTGTTGGAAGCCCCCTGGGATCACAAATAGTGATCACGTGACCACAGGATGCTGCAACCATTATAAATACATGCCAGTCACCAAGCACCCAAATTTTGATCACACGACTGCATGGATGCTGCAATGGTCATAACTGTGAGGACCGGTCGTAAGGCACTTTTTCAGCACTGTTGTAACTTTGAATGGTCATTAAATGAATGATTGTAAGTCAAGGACTACTTGCATTCATTTTTTTGGATTTAGAAGTCTGTCCAACTCCATAAGACTCTGGGTGGTGTACAAAATTAAAAGATAATTAAAAATCAGTAAAACAGTGAGAAACATACCCACTTTGCCTGATTGTACGAGATGCATGCCATCAGAGATAGGCAGCCCACAAGCAGGGTCAATGTCATCTCAGTACCATGCCCCAGTCTGCAACCTGACTGAAAAAGGTCTAGATCATCTGTTTCCTCCAGGGCTCTCTGGAACCGCCTTCTCAACAATCTTCCTTCAAAAGGAAAGGTTGGAAACTGGCCAGGACTGTTGGGTCCAGGGGTGATTTCTTCAGGAAGGGGGCACTATCACCTCCTTCAAGGCCATGGGACCGCCCCTTCCTCAAGGAAACCAACGCTGACTCATGGGCCCAGCCACAGATTGCCTCCTGGTGGCTCTAATAAAGAGATGGCTGGGCTCGCCACCCCAGGGACCATCTCCACCTTCTCAGGAACCGCAGGCGCGAGCACCCCAGCGCCACCTGCCGGACGGTGCCTCAAGCACCTCGGCAATTCTGATCGGAGCCAAGCAGTTGCAATGGGAAGGGCCACACGCAGTTCTACCACCGAACTCTTCCCAGGGCACCGGGGCCCTTCTGTCATCCACGCTGCCTCTATTCTTAGCAACGGGGGGCCAGAAGCCAACCCTGGCAATACTGACGCGCTGTGGGGCTGCCCTTGGGTGGTGCCGGATGGGGAAGGAGGACTTAAGGCTGCCCCGCTTCTGCGGGGAGCGGAGCAGAGGAGGAGGCGGTGCAGTCAGGGCATGCTTGTGCCCTGCTTGGGGGCAGCGGGGGAAGGGCCATTGTTCAGCTTGCCAAAGTACCATTTTCCCCTTGTTCTGAAACCTCGCTACACCCTAACCACCCGTAAACTTGCAGGAAAAGACAGGCGCCCTTCTGTGGGAGTGATTGGAGAAGTCTGGGACACACTGAGAGACACTGGTCGCTCCCCACCACCCAGCCAACTCCTCACTCACCCACTCCACGAGCATACTGCTGTCCAGTTCCTTTCGGACACAGTTGGTCCACCTGCCCCCTTCTGTTCCTGGCGCCTCGTTTTTTCCCGGCTCCCAACAAGGGAGCAGGCCTCTCCAGTTGTCTTTGGGGAACACGGGGGGGGGGGGGGGAGGCAGGTTGGCACTTGCTTGCCAGTGTCCCTGATGTGTCTGTTTCAGTCACTTGCGCCCCTCTCCTTGAAGGAGCTACTCAGTTTCCATCGATACCGGACTTTGGTATTGCACAAACGGGGCAGAGTCTGCCTTTCTCCCCCTAGAAGCAAATCAAAATAATGCCTCCACCTCCAGGACTTTAAACTGGGATATTTTAACAAATGAAACAGGAACCTAATCCTTGAAATTAGCTTTTCTGTTACCTGCATTTACCGCTCCTCATAATCACCGCCATTCGTTCTGAGCGTTGCAATGCAGTGCTTTAAGTTGATAGTGGTGCCAGGTTCAAGGAGACACACGTGAACCCAACACCTGCATCCCAAAGTGTATAACCACGTATTTTCCTGCTAAAGCCTGGGATGTGAATTTGGGCGGGGGGGGGAGCAAGTTAAGTTTTGCGATGATGTTCCATAGACTGACAGTTTGGATCATAAAGATCAGCCCACGTTTTGTCAGCAGTCATAATGCTGTGAAAAAATTCACCTTCGTTCTTGTAGCAAGACAATTGCTAGCAACATTTAACTCCTTAAACTTTCATGCCTGCTGTCAGCATGCAAGAAACTCATTTTCAGAATCTTCCGATGTTGAAAAACATCAATAACGTGACTCGCATGCTCCTGTGAAATGCCATGCTTGACAGCAATTTCCGTTGGTGTGTTCTGCCAATTGTCTTTAGGCAGGTCATCAAATTTTCTCATGTGAAACTCATCAGTTGCTGTCACAGGCTGTCCATTCTTGATGGCACAAATCAATTCTTCCCAGTTCACCATCATTACATTTTTTGACACACAACACATAGGCTAACAGTCATCACCATAAACAACCTGCATTTGGTGGTGAATTTCAATTGGAGGGACTTCTCTGGCAGTCAAACATTCAATTAGCACTGACAGGCAAGCGCTCGCGGCAGGTTTCCATATCGGGAACACCACCACCACCTCTTCTGACGGCAGCTTCTGCCAACTGAAGTGAAAGAACAGTTGCTAAACAACACCCCAGGCCATTTCTAGTGCATCAGGGCTGCCTTCTGCTGGTGACACTGGAGTCTACTGTTCATGCCACCCTTGTAGAATCACAGAGTTGGAAGGAGCCACGAGAGCAACCTAGTTCAGCCTGCTGCCACGTGCAGGGGAACCAATTAGACTGTCCTCAGGCGGTGGCTGTCCGGCCTCTTCTTCAACCCCTCTAGAGCTCGAGAGCCCCCAACCTCCCAAGTTAGGCTGCTCCACTGTTGTAAAAGGAAGCCTTTCCTTACCTTTAAACAAAATCTAGGGAGCTGCAACTGATGCTTGTTATTTCTGGTCCTAGAAAATAGTTTTTGGCTGCCTCCTCCACTCTGATTCTCACTCCCCTAAATGTGCCTCCCCTAAATGAGCCTCCGCTGATTCTCCCCTAAATGTGCCCTAATGTGCCTCCACTCTGATTCTCAGTCTCCTCTCACTCCTCCAGACGAGCACATCTTTGATAGGGTGCTTGTTCTAAGGCAGCCCAAAACCGTGTTAGCCTTTCTAAACGTCATCTCACAGCCAGCTCACGCGCAGCTTGTTGACGATCATGTTCTTCTCTGACATAATTGTTCAAGGCCCTCAATCCCCCATCTTATACGCACCCCCTTCTTTCTCCTCCCTAAACAAACGTCTTACATTTTGCCCCATGGAAGAACGTACTCCCCTCTGCCCCGTCTCAAGGTGCCCGGGCTGCTACCTCCTCCTGCCTTCCTGGGGGCTGGCCAGACCCGTCCATGTGGGGCCTTCTGCAACTCCGACAAGCAGCCCGTCGCTCCTCTTGTCCCAGAAGGTTGAACGGCCCCAGCCCCAGGGCAGGTCTCTGTGGGACTCCACTGATTACCGCCCTCCAGGGCAATGTACGGCCTTTGCTGCAGACCCTCTCGATATGGCAGCCCACCAGTGGTGGACACTGAGGCTGTTTCCGCCCAGGGGTCCTCCATGTGTTTCTTTTAGAGCAGCAGCCAAACCTTCCAAAACTAACATAGCTGGACCTGCAGCAGCCGAAGGTCGAGAAGAGCTTGGTAGCAAAAGCTGGCCCTTTTTCTGGGTTTCCCCCATGAACCAAAACCAAATTGCGCAGGGTGGCTTTGCTCACCATGCCCAGCCCTGCTAAAACTAACCCTGGTCAGCACTGTCTTAGTCCAGCCACTAAGTCTTTCACAGACCTGCTTAATCCTGTTGTGCAAACATGGCCATGCTTCCGCCGCGGCCCACCATACAGGCCTGCAGCCAAGAAAGAACTCCCCGTGCCTGCCGCCACTGCTGGAAGGGAGACGCTGAGGAGTCTGCGGCAGGCCTCCACGGGGCTTTGGATTCAGCAAGGAAGCAGGGCTTGGCCACGCAGCCCAACGCAGCCCTGCGGGCGGTCCAGCTGAGACGCCTTTGACCCGGGACTGCAGGGGAGCGCCTGTCGCAAGGGAGCCCAGCACCGCTCCCACGCTCTCCACGTGAAGCCCCATACTTCTCCCACCTCCTTTCCCAAAAGGCCCCGACGCTGGGAAAGGGAAGAAGAGGACGGCCAGCTGCAAGAGGGATGGACTCGGTCACAGTGGCGACGGAGGCGCCCTAGGGAGAAGGCTGGGGCCAGATGACCCTGGAGGAGGCCTATCGAGGCGGTCGCTAAGGCGGCGCATAACCCCCAAGTGGGAAACGAGGGGTTGGGATTCCTGAGAGTTCACATGGGAGAATGCAGGCCACTCCACAAGGAGAGTGAAGAGGAGAAGCCTCCTCCTGAGCTATTTATTTGTTACGCTTCTCCGCTGCACGAGAACAGAACACGAGGCCGCACTAGAGCAGTTCTGCAGACGCTTAAGCATTCTTCCGCTTCAGGCCAGGCCCGTCAGCCAATCCCCCCACCTGGTCCTTTCCTCACCACTAGCTGGGGTGGGGAACCCCCCCAGAGGAAGAACAGGTGACCAAGATGGGGCAAAGAGTCTGGCCGGTGAGAGAGAGCATCTTCTCCACAGTGCCCACCTGCTGGGGGTCGCAGCAGACCTGCCTCTGAGCCTGGTGATGTCTGGTGCCCAGGTGCAAAGCCGAGCGTTCTCCGAGAGCGACTGTTCGCCCTATGTGCCCCTCACAGCCAGAGGAGCCCCTCCAGGGCAAGGCCACTGCATTGCTGAACAGCCACCAGTCTTTCCTGCTCCCACCCTCTGAAGGACTGCTGCAGCCCGCTGCTGGAGACCTGCCTGCCCCCCGCCCCTCTGCAGTCCTTTCCATCCTAGATCTTGGTGCCTACACGCTGCTGGCAAAGTGGAACAAAGCCTCACATTTCATCAGAGCGATGGGACTGAAGAATGATGCTGGTGGCACCGTTGACCCAGCCAGGCTGCTGGTCAACAGAGGCAGGTGGGAGCGCCCTCTCCTTCCCTGGAGGCTGGTACTCAGCGGGCAGTGCAGGAGAAGGCAAGTCCAAGGAGGAATTGCCACTGCTGGCAGAGGGGGATCGGGCTGCCAGGGGACTCTGTGGGCCCTCCAGAGACCCGTTGAGGCTCCCTGCAGACCGGAAGCCTCCGTGGGACACCGCTTTCTCCGGTGACAGCGGCCCCAGGGACCCAGGAGGGAGGGACGCCATTGGTTCTGCCAGCTGGGGGGCATCAGCCAATGCCCGGGAAGCCCCACTCGGGTACTCACGCAGCTTCCGGGACAACACTGGAGGGGGAAAAGGTGGCGGTTACAGGATTGCAGGGGACTCAGGCTGCCCCCTCGGGGTTCCTGGCCCTGCTGGCTTCCCCTTGGAGCCCCTCCTTGCGCCATGCGATAGTTTTCACCGAAGCCTTGAACGGCTCTGTGCTTCTTAAAGGATCCAAGTCTCCTGCTTGTCCCTCTCTACCACCCCGCTTTGGAAAATGTTATCAGAAGCGCCCCAAACCCCCTCCGGAGTTGTCATCGTGCCCTTGGCCATGAAAAAAATCATTTCTCAAAGTTGTCTGGTGAGGGCTAACGGCTTCTGGAGGCTGAAATCCAGACCCCATCTCCTGACAGCCTGCGAAGTGAGTCGACAGAGCATCTCCCTTTTCTCATCCCTGTGCCCAAATGCTCTGGCTTAAGAACCTCAGTTCTGCACCCTCAAAGCCGGCCGGACAGCCCGGGCTCCCATTTCCAGCCGCAGGAGGGCCAAAGGCAGCACGGCATTGTAGCCCGGCAGGAGTTGCTCAGCCTCTGCAGGAGCTGCTGCTGGAAGGCAAAAGGCTTTCGGCGTGCACATGGCTAAAGTGGCCTAAAACACGGAGCCCACTGGCCGTAGCAAGCACCAAGGGACCCCCCCCCGTCGTATGCAGAAGACGGCCCACCCTGGGGGCGCAGAGGTCGCGGGAGCCAGCCCCGCCCCACCCGCCCCAGGGACTCACCTCCTCGCTGCTCCAGCGGTCGCTCCCGGCCTCCCAAGGGATAAATGCTGGGCAAGAGGACCAGGCAGAAGGAGAAGAAGAGGACCTGGGGAGAGAGGCCACGCCAAGGACGTCCAAGGCGACCAGGCAACCGGTTACATGGTGGAGACCTGCCCCCCCCCCCGTTGCAGCTGCCTTCGGTCCCAGTTTTGGAGGTCTGGCGAGCAGAGGGAGGTGCGGGAACTCACCATGATGCAGGTACTGGCTGTAGCGGTCTTGGTGGACGAGTGCTGGACAAGGGCTTGCAACTTTCTCAGCTGCTCAAGCAGGGACCTGCAACATAGCAGGGGCTGCCGGTGAGGGTC